CCCCGCCAGTTCCCCCTCGCACCACGTCCAAGCCGCTGATCTCGGTGACGGCGCAGAGCAGCACGGAGTCCACGCAGGACGCCTACCACGACAGGACACAGAGGATATCCCCGTGGCCACAGGACGGGCGAGGCATGTACAACTCCACCGACAGCCTGGACAGCACCAAGGCCATGAACCTGGCGCTGGAGACGGCGGCGGCGCAGCGCCACGCGGCCGAGGGCTCCTCCGTACGCACCAGCGACAAGGCCATCCTCGTCTCCAAGGCAGAGGAGTTCCTCAAGAGTCGCCGCTCCTCCATAGGGATCCAGGTAGCCTGTCCCTAACTTCTGCCTGTTGTCCTGGGTTAACCCCAGCAGCAGCCAAGCCCCACACAGGCAGTCACTCACTGCCACCAGTGGGATGGGGAGAGTGGGAAGGGTGAGAGCTAGTAACTCCTGGGTTGAGATAAAGACAATTTAATACGGAGAGCAAAAGCTGCAAACACAAGCAAAGCAAAACTAGGAGTAATTCCCTGCTTCCCTTGGGCAGGAGGTGTTCAGCACCTCCAGGAGAGCAGGGACCATCACCTGTGATGGTTCCTTGGGGAGACAAACACCATCACTCCAAACATCCTCCCCTTCCTCCTCCTTCCTCCCACTGCACACCCTGAGCATGATGTGCTATGGTGTGGAATATCCCTTGGGTCAGGTTGGGTCACCTGTCCCAGCTGTGTCTCCTCCCAACCTCCCATGCAGCCCCAACTCCCTTGCCATGTGGCAGTGTGGGAAGCAGCAAAGGCCTTGGCTCTGGGTCAGCTCTGCTCAGCAACAACAAACACATCTCTGCATTACCAACCCTGTGCTCAGCACAAATCCCAAACACAGCCCCACACTAGCCACTGGGAAAAAAGTTAGCTCTGTCCCAGCCCAAACCAGCAGAAAAGCCAACTGATTTTAGATACTGGGAGGGATTTGCTGTGGCTCCATAATGTGTTTGCAGCAGTAGTTGAAACCAGTGGGAAGCGCCCCAACTCCCTTGCCATGTGGCAGTGTGGGAAGCAGCAAAGGCCTTGGCTCTGGGTCAGCTCTGCTCAGCAACAGCACAAACATCTCTGCATTACCAGCTCTGTGCTCTGCACAAATCCCAAACACAGCCCTGTCCTAGACACTGAAAGCAAGTGCACTCCAGCCCAGCCCAAAGCAGCACACTGTGATGCATTGCTTGTCTTCTCGCTGTAAATAGCATCGAATGAGTCATTCAGCTTCACCGGTTCTAATTATCTAACAAACAACCCCTGGCTGCTTAGCAGTAATTGTAATTCACATCATGGCAACGTGGCTGCACGGAAAAGTCTTTGGCTAATACACTGTGCTTGGAAGAAAATGAATGAATAAATCTCTAGGGAGGTTATCTGTCATTAACACTTGATGTGAAAATTATACTGCAGAGCTACAGGTGAACAGCATGTTCATCTCCTTCCCTCCGTGAATTCACAGGCCTTTTTATAGCATTACACCAGCTTCAAAGTGCTTGGCAGTATTTTTTCCATTATCTTTCTCTCCTGACCTTGGAAAATGTGTAATGCCACTGGATCTTCAATTATTCTACCTAAGAGGAGGTTAGTCGTGCTGGGAAGAAGGGCCCAAGGAAGAGAAAGAAACGTGCTGATGTAGATCTGGCATAATTACAGATGGCAAGTAATGAAATAGCTTTAATAAACAGTCTTTGCCCATCAAAACCCACAATGTTTATCTCACCTGGCAAAATGTGTGTCAGACTGTGGAAAGCTCAGTCAAGTTCTTTTGTTTCAGAGAAATGAAAGAAGACAATTCCAGATGCAAATTTTGATTGCTATTCCAGAAGTACTAGGTAGCTGGCAATGGTCATTTGTTTGCATCTCTAGGAAATATCAAGTAGGAGCAAGGAAAGCTGAACTTTTGCAAAGAATGCAAAGTCCTTGGAGGCAGGATGAGAGAAAATTTCAGCTTCTGTTTGGATAATACTCCCTTTTACATCACTGGGGTCACTTCTGTGCTTAAAAATCTCTACTTCTACGGCCAGATCTGCCATAGAGGAAATGCCACTTATTTTGGCATAGTTGCAGGTATTGTGGAGACAGCGACACAGAGCTCAGGAAGGCAAGAGTCCTTGTGGGAGAGCTCAGTGCGTGGCTGTTCATCCACCAGTGTGTTATTTTCTTTAAAGAGCAGTAACTCTGTTTCCATTCACTTCACAGTGCAGTCAGAGAAAACGGTTTGGGTTTAGAGTGTCACAGCCACTGGTTAAACCTCATGGGTTAACGTTTTAGCTGGGGTAATTTTGCTGTTCCAGAATGTGTTAGGCTGATGGAAGGAAGCAGCTTTGCCAGCAAGATGCTTGCCCAGCTCTCCACAGAAAAGCTTTTGCTGCTGATTCTCCAGATGCAGAAGATGAGAAAGCAGTGTAAGGACAACGGGAAAATATTCAGATGGCTACTTTTCAAATGCTTTGCAGAGTAATTAGTGTATTCTAAACTGTTCACAGAAGTGGCTTAGCAGATAACGGCAAAAGGCCCAAAGGAGCAGCAAGTAATCTTTGGTACCTTTTAGCCCCTAACACAAAACTTCCTCTTCAGAAAGGAAAAATGTCTAGTGTTGTTCTTATCTCTCCTGTACAGTGTGCACAGAAGTGTTTATCAGTGTTGGTGTCTTGCTTTGGTCAGTGCAGATACTCCAGTAATTAATTCTGGAACTTTGATTCCATCCCTTGAGCCTATTTCTTGCTGCAGGTGATGACCAGCACCTTTCACTGTGTTCTGACCCTCCTTGATGTGTGAGGTGTAATCACATGTGCTGATAACGCACAAAAACCCCTGTGTGAGGATTTCCCTGGAGGCAGAAGATCTTCCATGGCAACTTCTCATCTTGGCCTGTAACTCTGGAGCTCAAATGCACCAGGCAAAAGGCAAATGTTGTTTGCAGCAGCACATCTTAGAAGGATGAGCTGGTTTTTATCTTCTGAGGAATACAAAGTGCTTGGTTGTACCACTCGGCATTAGATAAGGTAAAAATTGCGACAGGATCCTCAGATAATGTTTTAGCCATTTGGGATTTTTTGCATCAGTAAGTTTCAAATGTTTCCTTAGTGTGAGAAAGACATTTCTGCAGTATTTTTGAACAGAAAATGCATTTTTTGGTGTTTCTGTTGCAAGGTTTGTAAGGGATAGAAACACAGGGTAGAACACTCCTATTGCAAACTATGCAAACAGTAATTTATGCCCTCAAAATGAAGTTGGAGTATTTCATTACTTTTAGACTTCTGCACCAAAGTACCTTGGAAAAGGATGGTTTTTATTTGCATATTTCCTTGACTGACTAAATGACTTGTTTCCTTATTAGCGTGCTATGCCAGGGTAATGCATTGGATTTGCATCTATTTGCATTAATTAATTTGCTATCAGGATGGCTAATTTGTGCTTTTTTTAATGCTCCACTCCTTTAACACATTGATGTGCCCAAGGAGCTTCATAATGGAGCAGAGAGGCACAAAGATGCAGAGTGATCGGCGCTGCCTCTGCGTATGGAAACGCTGTGGATCCAGCCTGGAACTCCCATGGCTTTGGCATGGACATTTGTGTGGTGCACATGGAATGGAAAGTCAGAGAATCAGAGTCGGTGAGGTTGGAAGGGACCACAGTGGGACACATTGATGTGCCCAAGGAGCTTCATAATGGAGCAGAGAGGCACAAAGATGCAGAGTGATCGGCGCTGCCTCTGCGTATGGAAACGCTGTGGATCCAGCCTGGAACTCCCATGGCTTTGGCATGGACATTTGTGTGGTGCACATGGAATGGAAAGTCAGAGAATCAGAGTCGGTGAGGTTGGAAGGGACCACAGTGGGTCACTGGTCCCGTCCCAAGCAGAGTCTGATCCATCATCCTTTACTAAAGCCCTGGGATACCAGGGATGTGCCATAGGATTGGTATTCACGTGCACATGGAGCTCAAGTTCCTAGGGATGCACTGGACTTACTGTGAAGCTCAGTGGTGTCTGTAGGGACAGAGCACAGCACAGGCAGTAACTCATTTCAGGGTATTGGAGTCCTATCCCAGATGGGAATTTTGAACAGAAAACATATTTTTTTCTAGGAAATAGCTGGTTTTCTTCTGTTTTGTTCTGTTTTTCACCACCATATTTAAATCAAGAGAAAAATTGCCAGACCTGTCAGTAGGCACTGGGGGAAAAAATGGCGATTTCTAAACTCAAATGAGTTGCCAAACTACTGATTTTGAGATTAAAAATGTGGTCAGCAACCTCGAGAATATATATCTAGCAAAAAAGAAATAATAAAACTCTTGTAACACTAGTAGCTATAAACTTCATACCTGTCTTCTACCATGGCAGCAGAAGACTCAGCAAGGTATTTGACTTCAAATGGGGAGTAGAGATTGTTGAGAGTAAAATAAGCACTAAGTCAGAACAGAGTTGTTGCTAGGATATATTTGCAGGGATTTTCCTTGCTCTTTGGCACCCTGGTATAATGCTCATGATTAACATTCCCAAACTGTTCTAGTTACAAAGCATCTCCTATTAAAAGCGTTTGGAATAGGAAATATATGAGAAAACATGTCAAGAAATTGCTCCTTATTTACTTCAAGTATTTCAAAACATCCAGTCCTTTGTTTCTTCTCTGTTTAAAAGACATCAAAACTTCTCAGGATGAACAGAAACCATGGAAATGAGTAAGATGGCAGTGAGTGCTGTAAGTGTGAAGGCTGATTCATGGTGGTATTTTTGGAGCTGAGCACTAATTGCAGAGTAGAGAATGGACTCTGTCGTCTTCATTCATCATCAGATCACGCTTCAGAGTACTGAGGGTTCTTCATTTAATCTCCAAAATCTTCATTAAACATAGAATTGTAGAATTTAAGGGTTTGAATGGACCTT